TGTTTTGTACTCATCGCTTCTCCTATCATACTCTCTCCTCACAGTATACTTTCCATTACAATGCGATGGAGTATTCAAAAACTTATTTTTTAACTTTAATTTTACTATACAAAAGGCTTCGTAACGGTTCTCCCCAGATTAATTAAAGCCAACTGGTTATGTACCTAGACCCTGGTCATGCTGTTTTTAGATGTAGTTAACTCAAGGAGTAATGGATTCAGATGGTGCTACGTTAGCTCACAAGAACACTTAAAGTACTCTTATTTGGCTTATAGTCCTACAATGTGCAGTGTGTATAAATTTCAACTCCAATATTCATCTGAGTGTAAGACTACAAGTTATCCGTTATCCGCTGGGGCTTTTTACGGTCAAGGTTGCAACTTTATGCTTTTATCAACTATTCATAAGACCTGATTTTGCAATTGGCTGCATCGTTCTAGAAGAACTGAGGTCAACAAGTCAAGATGATAAATTACGGTAATGAATTACCTTAGAGGGGTTACATGATTAAACCTAATATTGTTAGTATTACTAATTTCCTAATCAGTAAATTGTGGCTAATTATGCTCCTCACTATCGGATTTAGATATCAGATAGCACTGGTTTTTTGTCAGCAGGTACATAAATTAAGCTACACTAAAATGTTAAGATTGATTGTATGTATGAATCCCGTTATTATTATTTCCTTAAAGTTTACCAGAAGTACTTAATAGAATAGTGATCTCATCACACATTAAACTTAGATCATAGTAGATGACTGGAATACAATTTCTAGACGTATTTAATGCATCGGAGTTAACGCGAAGGAGGTGATGATCAAATTACGTGAGTATTACAAGCCGTAGTTTTCCATATATTACCATAGATGAGGAGACAACAAATTATCAGAATATTTGAATCATTGTTGATTTTCAGGCAGTTATGAATGAGAGTTTATTCTTTGATCTGAATCCTGTGACTAATTAACTGATTACGGAAGAACGATCATATGATCCATTACTAAACAATGATTTCTGTATTAGAAAATTATATATGCTCAATTATTAGTAGAGGAATCTTCTGCATCCTTATAATTTGCTACTCTTTCTTTATTATTGGTGGCTGCATGTACCAATTGCACGAATGCGTCACTAGCTAAGTCTGATTTCTTCTTGGGTGCACTAGTGGATGATGCAGAAGCAGTTGAGGTACGGTCATCTATTGAACCTAGGGCACTGCTTAAAGCCTTCCAAGAACCTAAAGCTCCTTCAGATTCAGCACTATCGCTACCTTGTTTGGACGATACATCGCTTGAGATTAATGCACCTTCATCTCCAAATAAGTTGATTTCATTCGGATCATCATCATCATCACTTTGTAACTCTTTCAACTTCTTGATCTTGTTGTTTAACTTGACCATTTCAATTGCTTGCTTAAACTTTTGCTTTGCGTTGAAGTTCTCCTTCAAGTTAGGTAACAAGTCTAATTCCTTATGTTCAGAAGCAATAGAGACTAACCACTTGTCGTTTAATAATGTTTCAGCATCGGGCCTGTTATCTGGATCGAATTGTAAAGCTTTAATGATAAAACGACGAGCATCTTTTGAAACATCTTTCCAATAATCCGCATGGAATATAACTGCATTATTATGTCTGACTTCCTCAATGAAATCACTAACATTCTCTGAGCGGAATGGTGAATATCCACATAATAATGTGTAAGTAATTACACCTAAAGACCAGATATCACAGGGTTTCCCATGTCCAGTGCCCAAAATGACCTCAGGGGCCGCATACCCAAATGACCCTGCTGAAGACGTTAGCTTCTCGTCAGGACTCTCTAATCTCTTAGCAATACCAAAATCAGCCAACACTACATTTGAATTATCTGCTGGCGTCAAGTATAATATGTTCTCCGGCTTTAAGTCTCTGTGGACAATGTTCTTATTATGTAAATACTTGATTGCCTCTAACATCGCAACGATCACCAAAGACGCATCGAACTCAGTAAATCTACCCTTCTCGATAATACGATCAAATAATTCTCCTCCGGTAGCCAATTGCGTCACTATATAAAACTTATCTTTCGATTCAAACCAATCTCTAAATCCAACTATATTGGGATGCAGTAACTCCTGCAATAAGTTAAGCTCATCAGTGATTGTTTCCACTTTACCCTTTAAAGCTTTCTTTAAAATAATCTTCACTGCAACTTCTTCGTTCGTTTCGTTGTTCCTTGCATATCTTACAATTCCAAAAGATCCAGCCCCTAATGTTTTTCCAAATGTATATAATGATTTACGGGAGTACGAGCTAGGTTGCCCACTTAATTTATTGAAGATCTTTTTCAAATTATTGTTTTCCGATTGTTGCTGTGCCATATCTACTATTATAATCTCTATCTCAATATAATAATCTAATTGTTGTAAGACTAACCATTTCTTCTAATGCATCTTATAGGCCACTCGTTGTCCTTGAATCCCAATTAATTTCAAGCGCGGTCACGTTCAGATAAGAGAGGCTGTAGAGAAAATTTAGTAGGCATTCCAATTTTAGATCTATTTGATAGCTGGTATGGTAAGTTGGATGCTACTACAGTATTTCGAGATCCATGTCTCTAGAATCTTTGGCTGTCTTAGGGTTTTCTCTTTCTTGGCTAGTTCTTCGAGACCTAGAGTTAGTCGCATAATAATATCCTAAATATAGTCTCAAACGGATCAACCTTTCCGTTCTATTAGAAAGCATGAATTATCTATTAGTATATGCCGCTTACTCCGGTATGCTACTTCCCAACAATAGTATTATTATCTAACGAATGTGGGATTTAAACTAAACGAGTAAGTGAACAACGATGGCTGCGATTTTTTGCGACTCAGCGGGAATCGAGGTCCTCGTAAGTTTTTGGATTTGGGGTCATAACTGCAACTATAAATTGGGTTGATAATCTACTTTATTTAGCAAACTTATATCAATTAACAAGTATTATAGGAGAATAACTAAAATATAAACTATTATTCAGTAAAATGCTTAGAGTTTCACGTTTATACCCAAAAAGCCGTGCTGGTAGAGCATTAGCAACCATTAAACGGTATCAATCTTCAGTATGCGGGGCATATTTTCCAGATGAGCCATCAGGACCAGAATTGGTTACTGAAAAGATTCCTGGGCCCAGTGGAATCAAATTGAACGAAGATTTGGGTAAGGTGTTCGATAACAGAGCATCTAATTTTGTTACAGACTATTTTAATTCCATCGGGAATTATATTTCAGATGCCGATGGTAATAAGTTGCTTGATGTTTATTGCCAAATTTCTTCAATTGCATTGGGTTATAACAACCCAGCATTGATAGAGATGGCTAAGCTGGATTCCATGGTCAATGCGTTAGTAAACAGACCAGCATTGGCATGTTTTCCCTCGATTGACTACGGAAAGATATTGAATGAAGGGATTTTAGCAGCTGCTCCTCCAGGTATGAACAAGGTATGGACAGCCCTTTCAGGATCATGTGCCAATGAGACTGCCTATAAAGCTGCATTTATGTACCAAGAGGCAAAACGCAGGGGCTCAATTGACTTTACTAGTGAAGAATTGACGTCTGTTATGGAAAACAAAGCGCCTGGTGCATCGGAAAAGGTGATTTTGTCGTTTGATAAGGGCTTCCATGGGAGACTTTTCGGGTCATTATCCACTACCAGGTCAAAAGCTATTCATAAGTTGGATATTCCAGCATTTCAATGGCCCAAAGCACCCTTTCCACAATTGAAGTACCCATTGGATGAGTTCGTAAACGAAAATCATGCCGAAGAAGAGCGTTGTCTTGCAATCCTTGAAGAAATTATCACTAAGGAACATCCACCTCATAATATTGCAGCCATTGTGGTTGAACCAGTACAGTCTGAAGGAGGTGATGTTCATGCCACTCCGTTCTTCTTCCAAGGATTAAGAGACTTGACCAAGAAACATGAAATATTAATGATTGTTGATGAAGTACAGACCGGGATAGGGGCAACGGGTAAGTTTTGGGCTCATGAACACTGGAATTTATCTGAACCTCCTGACATGGTTTCCTTTTCGAAGAAGTTCCAAGCTGCCGGCTTCTATTTCACTGATCCAGAGTTACAGCCAAACAAGCCTTTCAGGCAGTTCAACACCTGGTGTGGTGATCCATCCAAAGCATTGATTGCTAAAAGTATCTACCAAGAGATTTCCAAGAACAATCTTGTAGAGAGAACGGCTCAAGTTGGAGACTACTTATATAAGAGCTTGGCCTCAGTTTTCTCTAAGTACCCAGACAGAATAAAAAATTTGAGAGGTAAAAACATGGGTACTTTTATTGCTTGGGATTGTGTCAATGCAGAAGAAAGAAACAAATTGTTATTGGCATGTCGTACCAAGGGTGTTAACATTGGCGGATGTGGAGAAGTTACCGTTAGATTAAGACCTACCTTGATTTTCGAAAACAACCATGTCGATATCTTAGCTAATATATTAGAGGACAGCTTAAAAGACTTATATAAATAAATATTTTTTAAGTAAAATACTAAAATTTTGTTTTATTCTAGATCCATTTTGCTCATTGTACAAAATCGTCAATTTAGGAATGCGGAACCGTAACACTGATTTCAAATTATTTGTTGTAAATTACACAAATTATTTCCGAAAGGTTTAAATACAAAGTTGATCATCAAATATAGTATATTAATAGATTAATAGTAACCATTATTTGGATTTGAGATCGTATATTGTGACATAAGTGCTTTTGCTAGGGAAAAAATACCATTCATACAGAAATAGATTGGACTGTTCAAATTTGCCATAATTCCGTTAAGTAGAGCAAATTACCCTTTATTTTGATTCAGACTCTATCTTTTGATTATTGGTAGTTGTATAATCCTATTTATGAAATCCAACATTTAAGAAAGCTTCCTTATAGGACGGCGGAACATATAAAAAAATACTTGGTCATTATTACTAATCTAGCCTTGCCGCTATCGGAAATCAGTATAAGATATAAGGTAAGATGTTAGGGCGATTATTTAAACAGAACCAACAGGGGCCTAATGGCCCCAACTCAAGTGGAAATAGCAATTATATAAACCCAAATGGGAATGGCAATACCTACGGTAATAGTTATGGTGCAAATCAACAACCAAAAAACGGCCCCATCACCAATCCGAATACGAATTCTTACCAGAATGTAAATACGTTCGAAGATTCATATTCTAGAGAGATTTTATATGGAACTTCTGATGTTTTACAGCTTAAGCCGTATCAATTGAACAATAAATTTTTCCGAATAATAATATCGCAGGATGGAGGAAATTTAAGGTCAAAGCAGGTGTTGTACGATTCGGCAGCTCAGAATAATGATAACCCAGGTGTTATAGCAAGACCTCCCCCAATGTCAAGAAATAATAGTTCTAATAATTTAAATAGCAAGAATATCTTGACATCAAAGATATATCATAATGCTAGTGAATTAAATGATTATATGTTTGGATGCGGGCTACCTTCAAATGAGACATATAGTACGACTAAAATACATATTTTGCCAACATTGAACAATCTGACCTATGGATCAAATCAGTCTATACTAATTACCAGGCTTTTTCTGATATCAGATAACAACGATTCTCAGATTTTTAGTGAGAGTTTTCAATCGCATTGGATGCCACGCCCAGCACTTCCTATTAAGGAAACATCAATTAAAAACGATGCCTTCAATATAGCTCATGCAAAAGCAAATAATCCTGATACAGGTTCTACAAGTAAATCATCCAATAGCATTAACAGCCGGTTTTCTATAGGCTTAATTATACCGCTTGAATCTGTAAATGATCATTTGAATGACGTTATTTTTAATAACTGGGATGAAATATCGCATTATCTTATAGTGTTACAAAAGCTAATAATTAAAAAATTGATACTAACTTTGAATAATAGTGTGAATGATTTAAGTCTTTCCAGCTTGAGCTTACAGAATAATTCTCCAAATCATACCCATATTTATTGCCCTTACATTGTAAATAAGAGAATCCAATTTCCAAGTTATCTTTTGCAGAATGAACTAGATTTGAATAGTCAACTTATCAAGTTAATTAAGTTGATGCATTACAACAGTAACGTTCCAAAATTAATTAATTCAAATTCACTAATGAGATCCTCTATGACTAGCTCTTCAAAAGTAAATCCTATGCTTTTAAACTGGATTTCAGAAGTGGTAAATTGGCTACAATTTAAAGATGGCAGATCTATGAGTAATGACATTAACCCACAAATGCATAGTAGTTTTAATAATAATTCTCAGTTCCAATATAATAATACTACTAGTACTTTAAATTCATTGTCAGTTCAAAGTTCTCCAAATATCAATACTTTGAATGTTTCTCCCAACACAGATACGGCAGTTACTAAGACATTTTTGGCCAGTTTATTAGCTTTATTAATCCCATTAAGAAAGCTGTTGACTATGAAGCCATTTAGTATTTCTAACGACTGCGATAATACACGGGAAATAACGAGAGTAATAGTTATGACGGGGAATCCAGTAGTTGCTAAGAAATTAATTTTTATTATAAACGGGCTAATTCCTGATAATGAAATGCTTTCAATATTGGATGACTACGAGGACGAGAAATCAGATATATCTGAGAGTATAGATGATACTAAGCCAGTGGAACATTCAATTGGTAAAATACCTGAAAATAAGAGTTGCGAGGAATTCCTAGATGAGAATAGTTTTAGTAATGATTCCCTTACTACACCTTCTATACAACATAAACTATTTAGTTCCACAGGTGATATGAACAATATTAACACAATGGGTGCAGCAAAACCTGTTCCCACTAGACCAATACCAATTAAATCGTCGACAGCTAGTTCATATAGTTCTTCTGATAATTCACCAACCCATAATACATCAGTCAAAGGTTGGGAGATACCTCACAAGTCGTCAGCTAGTACTACTACAACTCCTCTTAAGTCAAGAGTTGAAGTTGGAACCAGCGTTATTCCTATTGCTGAAAAGACTCCAGCTAGATCGTCGCTTTCGAAATCATCATCTATGGCGTACTTATCATCTTCTTTGACTTCATCTCTATCGTCATCGGCATCAAACTATTCATTATCAAAATTAGGTGGGAGCTTCATGGAGAAATGGAAAAACTCATTTTCTAATACGCAACACACAAACCCAAACTTGAACACATCTAATAGCCAAACTAATACCCTGCTTGGATTTAATACAGAGAACCATGATTTACTTCCTCCATCTTTGGGTAACCTATCGAAGAGAAATTCTGTTCATTCTTTAAGAACCCCATCACCAGCGGTTGAAATAGATGAAAACCTGCCCTATCATAATAATTCTTCAAATGTTGGTAATATCCCGCACAATTCCTCAAGTTCTACTAAGATGGCGAGAGCAAATTCAATGTTTGATTTATATAATAATAATAGTAGTTATAAAAGAAATGGTATTGGTATAATACAGGAAGAAGGAAAACACCTGGGGATGAAAAGATCCAATACAAGCATCTATACACCTGCTTTACGTGATACTTACAAATTGAAGAATATTAATGACTTTAACAGAAATATTATCAGATCTAAGTGCTCTCTAATTATGAAAGCTCATATCTCGGTGGGCGATTCTATTGACAAAACCCTAGACATCAACTCTGTAATGGAGAAAAATGAAGATGAATCTGATAGCTGCTATGAAGATGAAAGCACGATAACATCAAGCACAAAAATAAATGAAATTGCACCACTTATTAAGCACAGACCACTATTCCCAAATGTTGCTTTCGCCGAAGAGTTTCGACCTGAATTTATTCTCCAATCATGCCCAATAAATTCAAAATTAGAATCACAGGTGATGACATCAATGAAAAATGATTTATTGTTCTACCAAAACAATTGTCAGTTTGAGAAAGTAATATCAAGATCAGTATTTGTAAGCTTGAGAGCTAGGGAAATTAAAGTAATTGAAATGAATGTTGGTGAAACTGGCAGTGGAAAGGTTGAGACCAGCCCGAGTAGCCAGGCATCTAGCAATTCCGGAACACCCCTCGGCTCACTACAAGAATCTCAAAAGCCTTCTCTCCAAAGTGCCCTTACAAAAGGTATCAGAAACAATAAGAGTGACCAGAACGAACATACAAGACGTAATTCTATACCGTCTAATAGTACGTCGAGCTATAAGACTATGATCAAGAAGATCTTTAGTCCAACGAGAAATTCAGGAGATAAGGAAGTCATTTTGGCAATAGAGAATACCCTAGATGAAATTACGAAGTTATTTCAATCCAATTCTAATAGCCAAAAGAGTCTGACTACGAACCAAGATTTTAATGAGAAATTGACTATGCTAATGAGTAATATATTAAGCTAGATTGATAGGTCTATATATCTGAAGAAAACGTATGTCATTGATTTTGTGTAATTTATTTATTTTGTTCATACGACTAAGTAACTTGATAAAATTTCAATCATTGAATGGATATATTACAAATATTGATATAACATCGATAAAGTCATAATCGTCTTCCTAAAAAAGGTCTTCTTCATAAACAATACAAGATATACACACTCCTTGGTATAGTATTTATAAGATTAATCAAACAAATAATTGGAGACGATATTTTTGGTATCATTACACACGAATAATAAACCACATTTATAGAGCAAACTATCTCCCAATATGTCAGATATGGAAGAATTGGATGTCAAAGCCAAACAGCATACGCCTCAGTTATTTTTAGGATCTGAGGACAAGACGGACGAGGCTAGAGGTACATTTAATGAACTTCAAGAATGTACATACTCTTCTAAGAGTACTGGTTCCTCCGGCCAACATGAACATATGACTTGTGATTGTTATGAAGACTGGGATTCAGATAAGCAACAAAATATGGCTTGTGGTGAAGATTCAGACTGTATCAATAGAGTAACTTCAGTCGAATGTAGTAATAAATTTTGTACATGTGGAAATGACTGTCAGAACCAGAGATTTCAGAAAAAACAATACGCTAATGTAACTGTTATTCAAACTGAATTGAAAGGATATGGTTTGAGAGCCAATCAAGATATTTCCGAATCAAGCTTTATCTACGAATATATAGGTGAAGTGATTGATGAAGAAAGCTTCAGGAAGAGAATGATTGATTATGATACTAAAAAGTTGAAGCATTTTTATTTTATGATGTTAAAAAAGGATTCATTCATTGATGCAACTATGAAAGGTTCATTAGCTCGTTTTTGTAACCATTCGTGCAACCCAAATGCATATGTTGATAAATGGGTTGTTGGTGAAAAATTAAGAATGGGTATATTTTCCAAGAGAAATATTCAAAAAGGGGAAGAAATCACATTCGACTATAACGTTGATAGATATGGTGCACAATCTCAACCATGTTATTGCGGTGAGCCAAACTGTATAAAATGGATGGGTGGAAAAACTCAAACTGATGCTGCCTTATTATTGCCTGATGGAATCTCTGAGGCATTAGGTGTTACTCATAAGCAAGAAAGACAATGGTTGAAGGAAAATAAGCATCTTAGATCCAAACAACAAAGTGACGAATCAATTATTAACGAAGCGTTCGTTAAGTCGATAGAGGTTTCAGCCTTAACCGAAAGTGATGTTTCGAAGGTAATGGGTGCTTTGATGAGGGTTCAAGATTTAAATATAACTCAGAAATTGATAGAAAGGATATACCTTACTAGTGATGACAGTATAAACTCCTCAATTATAAGAGTTCATGGTTATAAAACTTTATCACAAACCATTAAAGCATTTAAAGATGAAGATAATGAGCTAATAGGCAAAATATTAATTATCTTAGCCAAATGGCCAAAGGTTACGCGTAATAAAATATCATCATCCCAGATTGAGGATGTAGTTAAAGACATCAATACCAATAGTAATGACGACAACTTAAAAAAGTTATCGTCTGATTTACTAGCTGAATGGGGAAAGCTACAAATGGCATATAGAATTCCAAAGAATATTGGTAATGGTAAAGAGTCAAACTCGCCTGCATTGTACGGTAGAAATGCCAGATCTAGATCTAGATCCAGATCACCGGATAGAGGAAAATCTTCTGAGCCTCAGCATGTGGAAACCGACGAGGCATTACCCGATGGTTGGCAAACTGCATTTGACCCTAACACTCAAACTAATTACTATTACCATGCAGAGTTAGGAATTTCTAAATGGGAAAGACCAATCAAGGAAGTTCCAAAAGGTCCAAAGGGTCCGAAAGCTTTACCAGTCAGTGAGCCTATGAAAAGACCTAATCTGAATAGCAATGGAAGAAGTTATAATGAAGAGGAGCTCACCAGGAGGGAAGAAGAAAAGTTGAAAAAAGAAAAAGAGGAACAATTTAAGGAAATTCAACAGAAAGAAAGACTCTTACAAGAATTGATCCTTCAATCTCAGAAAGAGCTAGAGGAGAAAAAATCGCTTGAAGAGAAGATGAAGCTAGAAAAACTTGAGAAAGAAAAAGAAAGACAAGCGCTTAAACGTAAAAAGCTCAAAAAGTCCAAGTCATCTATACCACCAGCACCACCAGTTCCAATTGAAGCACAATGGACAAAAACATTTGCTAAGCATGTTCCAAACTTCCTCAAGAAATATGAAGCAGAAATTGGTAGGGATAATATCAAAGGATGCGCGAAAGAGTTGGTGAAGACTTTAGTAGCTAAGGAAATGAAAAAGAATCCGGATACTAAACCTCCTAAAGAATTAGATAATGCAAAATTAAAGAAAATAAAGGAATACTCGAAGATGTTTATGGATAAATTTTTGGTTAAATATAGGTCCAAGCATGATAAGAAGAGAAGTCATGATGAAGAAAATGGAGGAACTAAGAGGGTGAAACCTGATGTCGAATAGTTATTAAAATTGTATACTTCGTATGTATTATAGTAATAATAAAAATCAATGATATTTATAATATTCTGTATATTTTCTATATGATAAATAAATAACGACAAATTTAAAAATAAAATTTAATTTTGTCATGCTATTGGTTGGCTAACCAAAAAAAAGGCATCAAAATGAATGGCATCTAATATACATGAAACGCTTGACGTTGCTGATCTATTTGAATAATGAATGGTCCTCTAATAAGTTTGGCAAGTTTCGAATAGATTCATCACCGTAGATAATTTGATAAGTAGCTTCAAATAATGGGAATTGATCAGTCTTACCAACATTGCTTAATAACTCATGAACTTCCTTTGCAGTGATGATACCTTGCGAGGATTGGCCATTCAATAATTTCTTCTCTGCTTCTTCAGCAGATTCCCCAGTCTTCGACATATGTCTACCGACCTTAACATTTCTACCACCAGAACATGTGGTGATTAAATCAGCAACACCAGCCGATTCGTGGGTGAAAGTAGATGGCTTAGAATTTGGGAAAAACATATTTGAGAAATTGATAGTTTCAATTAAACCAACTCTCATAATAGCCGATTTAGCATTGTCACCCCAGCCTAACCCTTCGACAAATCCGACAGCAATTGCAACTATGTTCTTCAATGCACCGGCTACAGAAACACCTGCAACATCTTCAATAACATTTACATGGAAGTAAGGTCTGTGGAAAGCTTCCTTTAATACAGCACTATCAATATCCTTACCTGGACCTTTAAAATCAGCTGGAATGTTGTAGGCAACTGTGGTTTCAGACCATTTGCATCTGGCAACTTCTGGCGCCAAGTTAGCACCAGATAAAGCACCACACTCGATTCCTAAGTTTTCAGTAATGTAAGTTGATAACAATTTGCACCCTTCTGGAGTAACTTCTAACCCTTTCAAACACGAAATTGCTCTAGTCGTTGACTTCAACGTACCTTTCAATTGCTTACAGATCTTAGGTAAAAATTGATGAGGCAAGTTGAATACCAATAAATCCGCACCTTGAGCAGCTTTAACGATATCTGGTTCCGCATGCAAGTTTTCTGGTAACTTAACCCCTGGCAAATATTTCACATTTTCGTGCTTTCTGTTGATGATCTCAGTCAAGTCAGTACCATCAATCTTCTCTTGAAAAACCCACATATCGACCTGTTTAGCAAAAGTATCTGGCTTTTCTGCTGTGTTTTCTGCTAAAACTTTGGCAATTGTAGTCCCCCAGTTACCTGATCCAATCACAGCAATCTTGAATGGAGTTTCTGGCTTTAACGATTTTTCAGCACTAAGCTGATTAGGACGTAATATATTCGATAACTGTTGTAATCTTTGATTGGCTCTATATTGTGACATTGGAATGGTATTAATTTTCTCTAGACGGGTTAATGTTCGTTTTAGAATTACCATAACTAATCAATTTTTGCTTAGAGATATCATCTCCATATATATACTATTGTACCCAAATAATTATCTTCATATGGGTCGCACGAGATATGCTCGCATGCCGAGGATCATTTATTCATTTCTTTTTAATTGCAAAAACAGAATCCAAGACATGACGCAAATTATTGATGATCTCTTTACTCCCCTTTCATCATACTAAACCCCCGGTGACGGCTAACATTGATATTCGGCATTCTTTCAACATTTTCCCCATCTCATCCTAATGGGTTTATTACCAGAATTATAGCTGATGGCCCGAATTTACACACAAATTCGCATAATTGTTCCGTTAGCACAACGGACAAAAACGGGGCGGTCTGAATTCTGTTAAACCGCTTATCGGAGTATGAAAAGAAATTCAAAAAAATCCTCGGTCGCAAACCGTTCCATTTGACCGAGGGAAGAATCAAAGATGTCAGAATTGTTTACCAGAGGTATTAGTGCGATATGATGTCAACCATGGTGGAGATATAGGCAAGTGGAAGGATATATGCATCATAGGCCACGGAAATGTTGAGGGTGCAGCACGGACGTAAAGACTGGTTTGAATCGCTAGAATTGGACGTGTAACTAAATGCTGCAAATAGACTAGTTGAGCGACAGATTGAGAACGATAGTTTGTATTTCTGAGGGGGATAGTAGAGGACTAATAAGGTGTAGGTTTATGGAGATTACACAGCTTGATTTGTATAATCCGGGAAATGAATCTTCTATTCATAGGCTAAATAAATTTATAGCGTACGATATCATATATTATGGAAATGATTACATATTTGCAGAGAAAAAAATTCTGAATGGATGAGATTGAGCTAGTATTATACAATAGTATACGCATGCATCTGATAAGTGAGTTTTTTTTGGCGGTTTACCAATCGGTTCCAGAATTATAATTCAGTTGTATTGGCATCGACGAGTTATTGGGGTGATGTAGATAGTTTAGGTTCTCGATATATAATTTTCTATCAGCGTTTCGCTTGCATGTTAAGGTTCCTGAGTGTCTTTTCAAGGCATCTTTTCTGGCAAAGCCCTTACCGCAAAGCTCACATATATTGGGGGGAATGGATAAATGCTGTTTTTCATGCCTCTTTAAGTCCGAAGATCGACGGAAGGACATGGTACATTTAGAACACAAGAACTTTCTATCTTCATCCTCTTTTCCGCTTTTGTCCAGTTGCGAGTTATCCGATAGCACGGAAGTTGTATTTTCATTCATTGGGCGAGATATCGTATGTCCCAGGTCATGCGTGGACCTTGATTCTTTCAGCTCTAAGTGTTGTGGTTCACCGATCAAAAAATTCCAATCTTCACTACGGGTAGATTGATTTTCTGTTCTTTGATGGTCATGGTCTAGGGAGTTGCTTCCTCCGAATCTGTTTTCAGAAAATATGTCGTTACTCAAGTTTGGAAAATCCTGGTAGAAATCCTGAATCATTAGTTGGCCGTTTTCATTGGCTCTTATCTTCTCCGATCGCCTGATTGGATTCCCATGAGGCGACGAAACGTACTGTAATCTTGTTAGCAAGTTTTGAATTGTTGGATCAACCAATAATCCGTCGGAGTGGCTCTTCGCAGCGGTAGCCGTGGCCACCAAGGCTTCCCTCGCCAATCGGAGAAATCGTTCGTCCTCGTCGCTTTCATTATGTGAATGGGACCGCAGCATATTCGTAGGATTATCAGTCTTTGACACCAGCTGATGGTCGTTCAGCACGCTATAACTCCTAGTATAACTTAGGTTCTGTTCGACCGCACCCAGACCCAGATGCGGCCCCGGTATATATAACTGGGATTCCAAGTTCGAATTCTTTAGTTTCTTTGTAGGAGGTGAAGCTCCCCCAATGTGTGCGCTTGGCTGCTGTGCATACATCGAATAGCTCATATCGCTGTTGTAACCTTCTGACTGTGAGTTGCCATTAACAGGATCCGGTAATGTACTAGTTGTTCGTCCACTAGCGTTTTGTAATGATTGCGTGCTCTTTGAACGTCTATATCGATATTGGTCCATCAGTTTATTGCCTCGTTTTTTTCTCTTTACCACCGGGATTATATATATACCCTATCTCTTAGTCCCTCGTCTTGTTATTGTTCTCTGATTGCAATATATCAACAGCGATTGACAAATCTACCGTTTACTAATTTCCAAGCCACAGTATGCGTTTTTCTAAAAATGGTGTGAACTCTGATTACCAACTTCTATTTCTTCACCGCAAATGTTTCTCTGCCACTTCTCGCTTAATCCAATATACCTACGGCTATAATGTACTTCTTTTCCTATTATCAGTGTCGTTCAATTGTGCAATATGCCAATTTTGCTTCCGTATATCTGTTTTCTATTTGCCTTTGAAAAATACTGCTATTTGCGTCCCGTTTATAATTAATACTTCAATGGCATGCTATGACTTCCTATAACCATGCTTACGCCTATCCGACAGTTATTTCACTTTTATTTTCCAGTCCGCTGGTAATGCCGCCACTATTGTTTCGGTTGGGCGATAAACTGTGGATTCCTGACAAGTATAGGTAGATGGGATTGACCTATGGATTGCAACATCTTATCACGTGACATTCTGTAATCGCGACCGGCCACAGAACCTTATCAGGTGATTGATTTGGAGGTTTTGCAGGTTTTTGTTGATTTCGGTGGTTTACAGGTTAGAGGTTTTTTTTTCGGTTTGCATGTTAAGGAAGACGGTATAAGCATCAGTAGAGAAACGATTGAAGTGGTCATAGTGAAGTAGCAACATGACGTACCAGGATCTTCCATCGCGTCAGAAATCACAGCGTCTTCTAAACAAGATGAGGAGCCAGCAGCAGCAGTTCCAACAGTACAAGCAAAAGGCCAAAAATATCAGCAATGCTAACGAATTGTTACCGGGGTTGAACGATATTTCAGATGCATTCGAAGCGTTACCATTGGATTTGATCAAATATTTCACACTTCTTAAGGAAATCGACGCCAAATACATCAATACTGTGCCGGTGATCAATAGCAATATCAAGAGCTACATCGATAGGTTGCATATCACCAAGAATAGCCCACCGGGAATGAAAGAGATGAACAAACCGACCAAGATCGACAAATTGACGGTGATAAGGGACAAAATACACGAGATTATTCCGTGTTTGGAGGAGAAGATGCATGTAACGTCTGTGGCGACGGATTTGTTGCACAAGCATCTTTATAGGATCAATGCGGACTACAAGTTGATTTTGAACAACAACGAGATTCCGGAGTCGATTAGAATTGGGCCGTTGAACCATCCAGCAATGATTATGGATTCTACTGGCCCGGTGGACGCCAACGGGAACTTGTCGGCGCAATCACAGAGAAGCGAGAGCAGAAGAGAGGCGCTTGCAGCCAAGAAGGCGCACAAGGACCACTACGACGATGATGAACCAAAAAAGAGAAAGGCGATGGGCAACAAGGAAGTTTCACCTTCGAGCGATGTTCCACTGGTATCGAAGCCGGCATCCAACTCGAAAAAACGGTCGAGAAAGGATCCTGAGGAGATGTCATCGAGATCAGACACTCCGTCCATGTCGACAGTGCTCAATGGCCCCAATAAGAAGAGAAACACCACGAAGCCTAAAAAGGACGAGAAGGACGTCAATAATGACATCGCAAACCCAGGCCCCAGTCATGCGTCCGCGAACAGCAGTGAACCAACCTACTGCTACTGTAACCAGGTCTCGTTTGGTGAAATGGTGGGGTGCGACGGTGACGATTGTAAGAGAGAATGGTTCCATTTACCGTGTATCGGCTTCAAAAACCCACCCAAGGGCAAATGGTACTGTGATGACTGTCTCATGAAAATGAAGAAGCTCAAGAAAGTATAACATGTGTTCTAAATCACTGTATCCCCAAACTGACCGTATCCGAGGAGGCGTGGATACTGTCCGCATTTAAAAGACTGCTGTCAAACCTGGCCATGTCGAAACTGGCCACTTGGTCTCCCCAATCTCGTACTCAGTTATTATATGTCCTATGTGGTCTTCACTGCTACATGTTGTATATTATTCCAATGTATAGTAACAAATAAATACATGAATCTATTTTAGTCGATTTTTACTCGCATTTGCGGCTAGATGCGCAGATTGGTGAGCCTCGCATGTGTTGCACCATCTCACTTGGCAAATTTGCCCACTTATCCTCCGTCATATATCCCCACTGGTACTCCGTCATATACCCCCGCCAACGATACCTACAAGGTGGCAATGATGAACATATACGCTGGCACATCTATATTATCACAGAGTCTGTAGTTTTACTGTAAAATATATTGAGAATTTGTCGGCATATTATTTTTTTCGTTTCCTACGGTATTTTCCTCAGTCGCCCCGTTTTTTTCTCTGGTTCGACTAAATTCATCAACAATAAATTAAGGCGATTATCGACAAGAATAACTTCTAATAGTACCTAATAATACATTTACAGATAGAATAAATTTGTTAGTGTTTAATTTCAATTCATACGATTTCGAGTTGTTCAACTGTTCATTCAATTCATTTTCTTGTTTATTTTTCAAAAAAGTTAGTCGCTATACATAAAATTATTACATACAATGCTTAAGGAATATAAGTTAGTCGTCGTCGGTGGTGGTGGTGTCGGTAAATCCGCATTGACCATCCAATTAATTCAATCACATTTTGTTGACGAATACGATCCAACTATCGAAGATTCATACCGTAAACAGTGCACCCTCGATGGGGAACTGGTTTTGTTGGATATTTTGGATACGGCCGGGCAAGAGGAGTACAGTGCTATGAGAGAACAATACATGAGGACCGGGGAAGGGTTTTTATTGGTTTACTCGATCAACTCGCGTACTTCGTTGGAGGAGTTGCAATCGTTCTACGAGCAAATCCAAAGGGTCAAGGATTCAGATTTCGTACCAGTTTTGGTGGTTGGTAATAAGTGTGATTTGGAGATTGAAAGACAGGTGAGCTACGAGGAGGGTTTAAGCTTGGCGAAATCTTTTAATTGCCCATTTTTGGAAACATCCGCAAAGCAAAGAATTAACGTCGAGGAAGCGTTCTATGGATTGGTCAGATCCATTAGAGACGGTGGAAGTGGTGCTAAGAAGCATGACACCGATAACGATGCCGCTGGTATAGCTGAAGGTAGTGCAGGGGCAGGCAATACAGCCAACCAAAATGATACGGCAGCACAAGATAATGCTGCTGCTGGTGCTTCGAATAAACAGAAGCAAGCATCCAATAACGCTTCATCGGCTACTAATGGCGGTAAGAGACAGCAACAACAATCTTCTGCTGCTGGTGGTAAAGAAGAGAAAGAAAAATCTGGATGTTGCGTTATCGTTTAAGTGAAGTTGGCCATATATCTATAGTTTAATTGCAGGACTATCTCTAATAAAGATTTTTGATATTCGAAGATCTCAGAAATTTATAAACTAGCAAGTACTATAAATTATTTATTTTTGTTGTTTTATTTGAATGTAATATGTAGTATATATTCTATAGTATGGAGATACATATCATTCGTAGCCAAACGAAGAACCCTAATTGATAAAATGAAACACAACGAAGTGTAAAATTAAACTAGCAAATATAAAATCGCCAAATGCTCTCTCTGGGGTAACAAACTTAAATGGCTTTCTGTCGCTTGTTTCAACGGTTTCAATATCAACCTTAGTCTCATTAAGATCCTCAATGTTCTTTTCCTTTATTTCTTGATCGATTTTTTCGCTGGTATTGTTACTATTATTTTCGTAGTTATATTGCAATCTTAAACTGACCGTTAATACGAATTGTCCGACACAACTAATAAATCCTCCTAAAAATGCATTGAATGGGAAATTGCCTACTAATAAAACATAGACAAATTGTAAAATCCCTAATGAAACCAAGAATGTTAAAAAAATGTCGATCAACTTCAATCTTGGTGTTAAACTGTTGATGTAATCTTTATACGTAGTAGTCAAAGCTGAAATTAACTCATTAATTGGATGCCCAATTTTGTTGGTTGTTGTATGTGTTACTGTTTTCTTAATTGAATCTTTTTTAGCCATGTTTTGTGTTGTTATCTGATACTATGGTTGATGTAAAGTAACCTATGCTTTGATTAAACGTGTTATTCTCCTGTGGACTAATTATGAAAAATTACACAAAACGTTACATATTTTAAAATAACTTACCAAAAGAATTGAACTAGTATCCTTTCGACTATATTCTCTCCAGTTCAATACATCGGCTTGTCCTAGCGATACAAATGAGTGAATCACAATCAGAAATTGAGCATAATAATAATAACTCGAAATTGACTAAAATTAGCCAACCTCCCACGGTTAGAATAATACCGCCGTTAAATTTTTGTCCAGTAGAAAAACAACTTTACAGGTCAGGACAGCCATCAATAATAAATCAGTCCTTCTTGCAAGACTTGAATTTAAAAACCATACTATGGTTGGCCAGTGAGGAGCCACAGGAGGACTTTTTGGATTATTGTTCAATGAACAACATTGCGGTTGAGTTTGTTGGTTTAATGAACGAATATTCCTACCAGAACGTGAATCCATGGGATGCATTAAGCGAAGACACCATAAGGAAAGCATTGGAATTGATATGCAACAAGGAAAACTATCCATTATTAGTGTGCTGCGGAATGGGAAGACATAGAACGGGAACTGTTATAGGGTGCCTTAGGCGTTTACAGGGATGGAATCTTGCCAGTGTAAGTGAAGAGTACAGAAGATTTACTGGTTCAAGGGGAGGACGTATTATGGTCGAATTACTCATTGAAAGTTTTGATATAAACTCAGTCCAAATAGATCCTACAAAAATGCCCGGTTGGCTTACATGAATGATATGGGTTAGTAATGCCTGATTGTAATCTCAATGTTTGTGTTAAAATGAAATTAGCTAAATATCCAACACCCAATCATGCATGCTAAAAGAGGTTCGTATGATCGGAAAAGAGTTTCCTAAACCTGTTATTCGATAGTTCATAAATCCTAAAAATGACCTCTATGATGCCTCTTAAATTTTTACATCTTCATTACTATATGATAATAATGACGGCTCTAGAACACATAATTATTTAACTAGACAATCATTCAAGACTAAAATTGCACCCAACTTCTCAGAGCGAATATAATAATTCAGTTTCAGCCCCTGGACATCACAGCTTTGCAGATGTTCTTCAATTGGATAATTGATGCCGTGGTCATGTTGACTACACAGAAACCACATAACTACTGCTACCTATCGATGATACCTTAAATCTGGACTATATAGCAATAGATTGCGTGTTTCACACGACCTCCAAAATTTCTCGCATGCCATCAAACAAAATTAACCCCCTCAATATAATGACTAGATCTTTATCTATACTTATCAATATTGCTATACAATTGTTAATTAATTATCAGCATATATTAAATATATAGCAGAGATAGTTAATTATTAAATTTAAACGATCACTTAAGTTACTTATAGAAGAACAAACAAAAAGGGTTACAGAATTACCAATAACATAGATATGGCGGGTACTTGTATTGCCACCGTTAAAATTGTCGGTGTTTCATCATTAGGATTATTGACATCGTCATTAACCTATCAAACTATTCAAAGAATACCAGCATTAATAAATGAATTAAATACTAAAGTTAGTGGTTTGTCGAAACTGAATGCTTTAGCATCGATTAGAAACTTGATTAATTTTAGTAGAATCGGCCATATTTCCTTGAGTGGATTAGCAACCGCTATGTTAACTATGGCGTTTGTTTACTCGCCACCAAGTGAGAAGCATCCATATTTGATTTACTCGGCATTAGGAGCTCCATTGGCGCTCATATCGATGTATTATCATGGGTTCGGTTTGGAAACTAAGTTATTGCGTAAAGCAGACCATTTGCATACACACAACGCTAATGAAACTACAAAGAATACGGAAAATGTGGGTGATTCTGAGAACCTGAAGAGTGATGAAGATTCGCAATTGGGTAAATCTTATATTCATGTATCTGATGAAGAATCCTCATCTACGACATCGACGCCAACTTCAACAATTCCAAATTCTCCCCATACTAAAACCGTTGATTCATTGCAAGAAGAATTGTCATTGGAAGAAGAAGTTGAAATTGCCTTGTCTAAGAAAGAAATTGTTAACGATTTAAACAAAGTCAAGTCTAATTATGTTGTAGGTTCATCAATAGTCGGGCTAAGCTTCGTTATTGCAACTATTGGTTTGATTGGAGACTACTACATATTATAATTTTGGATTGTTACATTTTTTTGTTACTGATTTTTTGTATATTGGAGATTGCCATTCTGATGGTACTTGGATAATGGTGTTTTGTATTTGGTGATGATTGTTTTGTTACTATAATATAAGTTTTCAAATTTATTTATTATATGATTAGGACGTCGGCCAGAGTAATAATTGACATGGTATTTATATATGACTACTAAATAATCATTTAATAAATCATATGTTATGGATTAACGAAGAATATTTATAGGTACTGAAGTCATTAAAGTGAAGATGAATTTTCTTTCCTGATATAGTATATTTTTAATTATCTCAAGGAAGAGTTGGCGTATCTTAAATTAATTTTAATGTTTAGTAAAATCATTATTAACTCAGGTTGATAAAACCATATCAAGTAACTCCTTAGTGGACGAACAGTCTCACTTCATTTGTCAAGGGTTTTGTAGATTTTCTCATATTCTGCTTATTTTTCAATATATATAAAGATAAAGACATGTGATACACGAGCTTAACATATATCTAAGCAGTACGGGATAGAAAAAACAATAGGATTTGGTAACAGGAATTCCATCTTGGAAAGCCCTGGTTATGTTACTCTAACATTCTGATCATGAACGGTTTTGCAATCATAGACCGTTAGATGGCTGAGACACTACATACAGGAATATACATACATTTGGGAGAGGCAAAAGTCAGCTATTAACATTGGATAAAACTTCTTTCTTAATCACAGAATAATATATTAAACTACAGTATATAAAATGTCTTTTTACGATTTAAGTCCTTTAGATGCTAACGATAAGCCATTCCCATTTGAAGAATTAAAGGGTAAAGTTGTGATGGTGGTCAATGTTGCATCCAAGTGTGGATTCACACCACAATACAAGGAATTAGAAGAACTCAACAAAAAGTATCAGGATAAAGGATTACAGATTATTGGTTTCCCTTGTAACCAATTTGGAGGACAAGAACCTGGTAGTTCTGAAGAAATTGCTAACTTTTGTTCTCTCAACTACGGAGTATCATTCCCAGTGTTGAAGAAAGTCGACGTCAATGGAGACAAGACTGACCCAGTTTACAAGTATTTGAAGGGGGAAAAGCTGGGATTACTCGGATTGAACAGAATTAAGTGGAACTTTGAAAAATTCTTGATTGACAAGAACGGCAAAGTTATTGAACGTTATTCGTCTTTGACCAAGCCTGCTTCTCTCCTGTCTACAATCGAAGAGTTATTGAAGAAATAGAGAAACTCATAGTGTGTTATGGGTGATTAACTTGAGTATTAACCAAGTTCTTATAATTTTAGTATATTAATATGTTTATATGTTTTATATCTACGTCTATGCATGAATTGTTGTAGGATGTATGTCTTACGAGTGTTTGAACGTCAATTGTTCTTGCTAAATGTAAAATTGGCTCTTGTACAATCACTAGCTAAAAAATAGAGAAGAGAACAAAAGATATTGCACAAATAGTGCCGTCACATGAACCGATTGGTTAGATCGTACATCATATATCTGGTTTGCAACTCAATTATGCCCATATATATATGTATTGATATTTGATTCCATGTTTTAATGGATACATACACATGTAAGTATCAACCGATTTATTGAACAACGTTAAATATATCCTGAATATGTTAGGATGAAGTTTTTGTACACTCGTTATACTTTCACATTTACATACAGTAGCACAATTACAATACATTGTTTTACATGTATTAGCTCAAATTTGTTTCGTTGACTTACACCACCTACAATTCGTCTAGACTTGCCCAATTGCCGTCCAAAACATGTCCAAATTGATAAAATTCTCTTCAATATCACATGCTTTTAGTCAACATTAACCTGTTGAACTATATGAGCTGTTAAGTGTTATCTAATCTATTATACCTGTGTCTATTAGAAAGCCTATCGTTATCTGAACTGTTATCAAGCTTATCCGTTGTTCCGCTATATAACCTTTACGCTAGACTTCCCAAAGCAGAAACAACCACAACCACAGCATCCATATTACCGCCCACGCAATTAAAACCATGTGGTCACATACAGGTACTAACACACACCCCTTTTGTATTGTCCTCTAGAGTGA